TTTTTGTGTTACACATTAAGGCACAGTGGCTTAAAATGTGGATTGATTTACATTTAAAGCTCATTCATAACAGACATAATAACTATGGCTTGTGTTTTGTTATCTTTGTTTTCTGTAGGTTCAAGCTAGCAGCAGGTTTTCTGTCTGCTTAATTCATCCCACATTTTTCTTTGTTTTTGTTCTACTGTATTTACCTACACATGCAAATCATATATATATGTATGTATATATGTATATATGTGTGTATGTATGTATATATGTGTATGTATATATATGTGGGAGGTATATATATATATATATGCATTTTTAAACTGATTCATAAAAATGTGGTTTTAGAATACAATGTACATTGTAGAGAGTTAGAAAATAGAGGATTGGTCATGCATCTAATGCACATTTATATGAATATGAGAAGAATAATTCTAATGTTATGATGCTTGTCATCATGCACTAATGTCCAAGTACTTCTTGAGCCATTTAATTAATAACAAATCACCAAATGACTCTTAGGAGTAAACAAAAGCTGAAACTCAATAAAAGAAAATTTTCTTGAAATGTTTTCAGAAGTTTTCCCTTAAAATTATTGAGATAAAACTCTCTTAATATAAACTCATATGAATCTTTATTTGGCTAAAATTAAGGAGTCATAATAAAAAATTTCTTATAATTTTAGCCTATAATGTAAATGAATATACAGAAGTCTTTTGAAAGGTTACAATAGAAATGAAGGTTTGATTCAAGTTGAAAAACTGAAGGCATGGCTGATCCATGTAAGTCATCCATAATAACTTGAAATTCATTGAAAGAACATCACAAGATGCTTCTTTCTGTGCATAAAACAGAGGAGAAATGTGGAGTTAGGAAAGTACAGGTGCCTTTTTTTTTTTAAACTTCACAGGGCTTTGGGCCAATAGGAAGGCAACTCATGAGACTGAAGTGAAGAGGAATTGCTCTTATTAAAAATGTCAGGTGGTTCACAGGAACATATTTTTTACCTGGAACTGTAGCAATTATATCTGGGAGGAATGCCAAAATGGACTTTGTTTAATTGATGGCAAATGTGGTAGAAATATGGTATGCAAAACTGAACTCTTTAAGGCATAAATTTGTACATATGCTTAATGCGTGTGGTTGAGTCAAGTTGAATAATGTAACCAGGCCTTGCACTTTTAAATTCCTTGCTGTGGGATGGTCTGTATGTCAAATCTGTTGCTCTGATTGGTCAATAAATAAAACACTGATTGGCCAGTGGCCAAGCAGGAAGTATAGGCGGGACTAACAGAGAGGAGAATTGAGAGAACAGGAAGGCGGAGGGAGACACTGCCAGCCACAGCCATTACAAACAGCATGTGAAGACGCTGGTAAGCCACGAGCCACTTGGCAAGGTATAGATTTATAGAAATGGATTAATTTAAGATATAAGAACAGTTAGCAAGAAGCCTGCTACAGCCATACAGTTTGTAGCAATATAAGTCTTTGTGTTTACTTGGTTGGGTCTGAGCGGCTGTGGGACTGGCGGGTGACAGTGATTTGTCCTGACTGTGGGCCAGGCAGGAAAACTCTAGCTGCAATTCCTCAGTGTGGTAAAGGATTGTTCTCTGATAAGAATATTCGTGGAAGACTACTAATGAAATATGTTAATTGCCATTTGAAAATCTTCAATTATATCACTACGGGTTGGAGATGGAACTTATAGGAAGTTTGCAAATTAGCACTAGATTCACTCTCATTTTAAAGGAAAGAATCTGAAGCTTTTCTTAATTGATAGTACAAAACTACTAGAGTTTGATCTATTGTAATGTAAAGTGAATGTTTCCTATGTTTGGGGACCTATTTTAAGTGCATTACACAGATACTCTTCTGTAATCAAAACAATACAAGATATTTATCGCATATATAATGGAAATGAGGCTAATAAGAATAAAGTATTATGCTAAGCACTTTTACTCAAAGACATGACATTATAAAGAGGAAACATTTGAATAATTTGGTCATTACTTATAGGAATCAAATATCAAAGATATGAATTCATGCGCTATGAATCAGTTGAGAAAATCCTACCTAATTCATATATCTATTACATTAGAAATGAATATATTTTATGATTAAAGCAAAACCTTTCTTTAAAATAGATGTGGTCCAAAATGAAAATCACTAATCTTACAAAGGATTTATATCGTTGCACCAAAAGTCCTAGGGAGATGCCTTTATGGTCGTTTTTGCCCCTTCCTGACTTTGCTTTAGCAGTGTCTAACTATTCATTGTGCTGTTGTTCAGACAATGTCTAATGTTATAGAAGCTCTCTTGGAACTTATTATGTATTGGAAGAACATCTTTAATGCTTAGTCTTCCTGTCTCCATCATTCAAGTGCTGTGATTGCCAGTGTGGTCCAGCTGCTACATAAAACTTTAATGTTCTTCTTGGTATTAAGAGGGCTGTCGAAGAACTTTGGTTTTACAAGAGTCTGAAGATCTTATCTTGTGTATTAACTCATACACAGTGAGATGGTTTTTATATACGGGATCATGTGTTTTTACATATGAAATATAATGCAATGTGTTGCAGTGCTAATGCACTGATAATGGATGGTGATCATGTTGATTACAATTTTATCCCCCTGGTGATCACATAGCACAGGAGATTAATGTTGTACATATTGTAGTCATTAATATTGTTTTTCTTCTAACATAACATGGGAAGCATTTGTTTGGAACCCAGGGCTTAATGCCAATCTAAAAGAATGTGAGTTATCAGCCTTAAGGATCAGAGAAGGACTTCATGGATTAAAACATCCTCCTACTTGAAATGTCTTGTGTAGACTGTGCTCCTTATGGTTTCTATGTCTTTTAAAATATATTTAAAAAACTAATAGTCATCAACTATTTGTTGTTGCTAAGAAGTTTTTATAACAATACCAAAATATTTTTAACAAGTCAATGATTTTTGTTATTTCAAATGATCTAAATAATTTTTGAAAATTTAAATTATCTAGTTTCTATATGATATCTTCTACTTCCTTACTTGTTACTTGAAAATTAATTATAATCTTTTTAAATCTTGGATAGCTTTGAGATCATTCATATACTGTTTTATGGCCTTTTCTTATCTTTGTTAGCATGTTCAGGTTTGGTTTATGCATTTTGTCTTAAAGGCTTTGACTCAAGGACCAATATTTAAGGACACACAGTATTCTGTCTTATTCAGATCCTTACTATAATACAGGTTCCTGAGAATGGAATCCATAACTGTGTGATGCATATGGTGAGATAAAGTTTGGTACAGAATATTTAAGATGGAGGCAGGCAGTAATTTCTAGCTAGATGTGTTGAGAACATCGCTATATGCTAACAAAATTACTCGATGACTAGCAGTGGTGTATGTAATTAGCAATAATGTAGACTGTAATCATTTTTCTTCTACAGTAACAACTGACCTCCGGAATTTGACACTTGTGGTATTGATGGAGAAGTAAGACTATTGTCATCATGTATTTTTTTTCAAACCTTAGCAGAAGTATGCCTTTTATGAGGACTATACATTTTTCCATTTTGTTTTGCTCTTTCTTTGATTTAATTTTTGCTGCATATATATTGATATTTGTAAGTTGAGTGATATAATTTTTTAAGAAAGTAGGCAAGCTTCATAATGTTCAATGTATTGTTTTCAATTTCTTTTAATTCAAAAGCTTGATGATTTCTTAAGATTTACTTTATGGTTTTTTATTTGGATTTAGATAGAGTTTCCAGTATTCAGATGATTAAATGGGTTGTCCCATGAGGAACAGTATAACTGCTACATAGTCGTGTTGCTTCATTAGACTCCTAAATAAACAGAAAAAAAATAATTTAAAACACACAAAGGGAGGTTACCTTCATAACACTATCAATGTCAACTTGAGACAAATGGATACAAAAAAAATGTGCATTCTTTGTCCTCATAGAACAGGCTTTAAAGTATGCTTTCTATAGAAATATTTATTCTTACTGAGTTTTATTTTCTTCTTTCCTTCCTTCCTCCCTTCCTTCCTTCCTTCCTTCCTTCCTTCTTTCTTAAAAAGTAGAATAAGCACTGATTTCTGCTAGTAGTTTTTATTATTTATTTATATAAAGTCCAATGGATAGACAAGGACAGATGTAAATATGAATTTCCCCAGTTTTAAAAGATGTATTTTTTATTGTGCCCAAGTGCAAGTATCTGTGCATTGGTGTGTGTGTGTATGTGTGTGTGTGTGTGTGTGTGTGTGTGTATTTCTATGGGGCCAGTGAATGCATGTACCTGCTGAGGTCAGAACAGGTTACAGGATCCCATGAAGCTTGAGTTAGTAGCAAATTTTCCAGTGGGGGTTCTTGGAAGTGCATTTTAGTCCTTTCCAAGTGCAAGTGCTCTTAACTTCTGAGCTATTTCTCTATCTCTAAAATTTTCACAATTTATTATACATTCACTGAAGATTAATAATTCAGAGAATCTTGATTTTTAAAATTATCAGGCACTGTTAATAATAAAACATCATATACCAATTGTGAATAAATGTTTTATAAGTACTAACTTATTTCTTTATTTCAATAACCCTTAGGGGTAATTAATAATATAGCCCAATTTTAAACATGCGTAAACTGAGTTTTAGATCTTTCATAAATCATTTGTTTATCACATTAAGAGACTATGCTCCTCCAAGAACCCTAACACTATTCCATTAAAATCATAGTACCAGACATGGAATACCTCCTATGAGACACTGGTAAGGTAGGCCCTATTGTCAAAGGGAGTCCCTTTGGTTTTCCACTAGTACGAGATCATTACATCATCATGCTATAATAGTACAGTTTTGAATGCAGAACATTAAAAAATTAAGCTTGATCAGAGTTGAAAGTTAGTATTTGTTGATTAGAAATCGTTATGTCACAAAGTCTGAGGGCTGAAGCGCACTGGAGGTTTCGAGGGCCGCCGGCCCCGCAGCCTGAGAGCCCTGCATCGCTTTTCCCCCGAAGCCTGAACCCCCTGTGCCGCTTTCACCCTTATTCCTGCAACCGTGTCCACCAATGAGAACGCTAACTCACCAGCTGCCGGGCTCAACAGACTCAAGAACAAAGGAAAAGACAGCACTGAAATGCGGCGCCGCCAAGTAGAAGTTAATGTGGAGCTGAGGAAAGCCAAGGAAGATGACCAGATGCTGAAGAGGAGAAACGTCAGCTCATTTCCTGATGATGCTACTTCTCCACTGCAGGAAAACCGCAACAATCAGGGCACTGTAAATTGGTCTGTTGACGACATTGTTAAAGGCATAAACAGCAACAATTTGGAAAGCCAGCTCCAAGCTACTCAAGCTGCTCGGAAACTGCTTTCTAGGGAGAAACAGCCTCCTATAGACAACATCATCCGGGCTGGTTTGATCCCCAAATTTGTGTCCTTCTTGGGCAAAACTCATTGTAGTCCCATTCAGTTTGAATCTGCTTGGGCGCTTACTAACATTGCTTCTGGAACATCTGAACAGATCAAGGATGTGGTGGATGGAGGCGCTATCCCAGCATTCATTTCTCTCCTGGCATTGCCCCATGCTCACATCAGCGAGCAAGCTGTATGGACACTTGGAATCATTGCAGGTGATGGTTCTGTTTTCCGGGACTTGGTTGTCAAATACGGTGTGGTTGACCCATTGTTGGCACTTCTTGCGATTCCTGACCTGCCTTCCTTGGCATGTGGTTACTTAAGTAATCTTACCTGGACACTTTCAAACCTCTGTCAGAATAAGAATCCCGCCCCACCTCCACCCCCCACCCCCCACCCCTCACCCCTTAGACGCTGTGGAGCAGATTCTTCCTACTTTAGTTCGTCTCCTGCATCACAATGATCCAGAAGTATTAGCAGATTCCTGCTGGGCTGTTTCCTATCTGATCGATGGTCCAAATGAGCTCATTGAAATGGTGGTGAAGAGGGCAGTTGTGCCCCAGCTTGTGAAGCTTCTAGGAGCTGTCGAATTGCCAAGTGTGACTCCTGCACTAAGAGCCACAGGGAATATTGTCACTGGAACTAATGAACAGACTCAAAGTGTGATAGATGCAGGAGCACTTGCAGTCTTTCCCTACCTGCTCACAAACCCCAAAACTAATATTCAGAAGGAGGCCATGTGGACAATGTCCAACATCACAACTGGATGCCAGGACCAGATACAGCAAGTTGTGAATCATGGCTTAGTCCCATTTCTTGTTGGGGTCCTCTCTAAGGCAGACTTTAAGACACAGAAGGAAGCTGTGTGGGCTGTAACCAACTACACCAGTGGTGGGACTGTTGAACAGACTGTATGTCTTGTTCATTGTGGCATAATAGAACCTTTGATGAACCTCTTAAGTGCAAAAGATACCAAAATTATTTTGGTTATTCTTGATGCCATTTCTAATATCTTTCAGGCTGCTGAGAAACTAGGTGAGACAGAGAAACTCAGTATAATGATTGAAGACTGTGGAGGATTGGACAAAATTGAAGCACTGCAGAGCCATGAGAATGAGTCTGTGTACCAGGCCTCTTTAAACTTGATTGAGAAGTACTTCTCAGTGGAGGAGGAGGAAGATGAGAATGTGGTACCAGATACTACCTCTGAAGGCTTTGCCTTCCAAGTTCAGGATGGGGCTCCCAGGACCTTTAACTTCTAATGTCCAGCTGAGGCACAAAGTTGCTAGCTATGTGTGCTGTGTTCTTCATAAATTTGTCCAACTGTTTCTCTACTAAGTACTCTTTGTAAATGTGGTTTGTTATTGTAGCACTTTTTACAAAGAAACTATACTTGAACAGTTGTGAACTGTACATACTGTATAAAACTATCCTGAGTTTCTTATTTCTATGTGGAATTTTGTATCCTGCAGTGTCCTGTAAATAAAGATTAGATTCCAGTCGTCTTTAAAAAAAAAAAAAAAAAAGAAAGAAAGAAGAAAGAAATCGTTATGTAGGAACGTGCTGTGAAAGTTAGTAGGATGCAAAGTCATTCATGGTTCTACCAAGCTGTGGACCCCATAAGCTACAATGGTGAGTTGCTGGATAAGTTTGGATATTAGCCACTTTCAGATTAGATTAGATTTCAGGCCTATATTTTAGGAGGGAACTCATGACTGGTATTGAAAATCTGATCTATAGCCTTTGGTTGGAGACATAATAGGCCCCAAGGCCTATTGCTACTGTTGTTTTGCTAAATAGCCATGATTTAGCAACAATTTATGTTTATAGCCAAAGAGCACTACAGGTAACAACAATGGAGAGAAGCAGTGATTATAACGGAACATCTGTTTCACTCCATTCAAGGTCCAGGTAACACTGTGGATGAAGAGAAAGAAGAGCCAGAGTCTGGTGGGTGATGTTCCAAGCCCTGCCTTCTGCATGTGAAACAAATGTTGTATTGCTGAACTGACATCAGCTGTGACTACCTGTACACAATGAGGCTTGCTATGCTCATAAAGGCACACCTCTCACTGAGGGACTATGCTCTTATGTTCTAGGGGAGGAGGTACAATTTTAGGGTGGAATAGTCTCTGGTAAGTTGCTCACATTCGAGAAAATAACCCTACACATTCATAATCATGTAAGCAATTTAATTAAACTCAGTTGGAAAAAAATTTTTTGAAAAGAAACTAAAAAAAAAATGATGTCAAAGTAGATTTGTTTTGTTTTGCTTTTGTGTTATTTATTTATTTTTTGAAGTAGAAGAGTTTTAGTGAGAGAAAGGAGAGATTGGAGAGGACAATGCAGTGAAATGCCCCAAATTCCATATAGTCAAGCATGGAATTGTCTGATAACAGAAAAAGAGAAAGAAAGAAAGAAAAAGAAAGAAAGAAAGAAAGAAAGAAAGAAAGAAAGAAAGAGACAAACAAACAGACAAACAAACAAACATGGAAGAGACCAGAGTCAAACCCAAACATGTAATTCTAGAAATATTTTGTCAACTAGTGAGCAAGGCATATATTTTAAGAGACTGATCTGAACCACCTAACAAAATACAAATACAGGGCCTTAGGGTACCTAAAAGGTATTCCGCCGGCTCTGGTTAAGATAGTTTCTACAGAGAAAATAGTGACATAATTATAATATAAAAGGGATGGATGACTTTTCCATGGGCCAAAAGAAACTTGGATATTCCAAACTATCTTGGCATATTCAAATGAACAGCAAAATGAAACAATTTCATTTGATTAAGGAAAGATAAAGAGAGTATGTGACATAGAGAGTAGGGGGTCTGGCAGTTTGCGGATATGTGCTGGAGACTGATCCTTATTTAATTTCAAGTATGAGGATCGAGTTTAGACAGTCTCTGAACACTGTCCTGGATGTAGGAAATGGGTTTGTTAATTACTCACTTGCCTCCACTGTGAAGTCAATACATCTGAAACAAATTATTGAGTAAGAAACTGAGTGATAAAGACACAACTTGTTGAATGTGCTGTAATTATAGGGCTAACATGTTTATTTGGGTGTTTATGAAGGAAAGTGACAAGATTGAACTTTGTGCTCTAGAAACATCTCTGAGTTTAATTCTGAATTAGAGTTTGAAGATTTGAAGATAACCTTTCATTGGAGAGAGAGAGAGAGAGAGAGAGAGAGAGAGAGAGAGAGAGAGAGAGAGAGAGAGAGAGAGGTGTTCATATACCTAAAATATGTCTATAACAGCATTTCTTCCAGTTTATCATGTAAATCTGACAACATCTCAGAAGCTCTCTATTTCCTCCTCAGTGAACTGAGAGATGAGAATAACAACATCCTAGGCAGCCAAGTGTGCCACATTCTTCTGTGTTTGGAAGCTTGGGCTTCGTGTTTAGGATGTGCACATTAGTGCACTGAGCTGGAGACAGAAGTGTGCAGAATACGAAAACAGAGAGAGAGTTTTTTTTTTTTTAACTGAACACATTAAAAAGGAGTTTTTCAAAGGAACTACTGCTGACTACAGTCTTCAAGAACTAAATTCACAGGCTGAAATGCAACGTCTTCTCCTAACAGAATACTGACTATGTAAATGAGATCCCCAGGTCACCCAACTGACAAACTAGCCACAGCCTGATTCACAATCCTTCTAACAGCTTGCAGTGTCTTTTAGGAAGTTGAAACTTGGGCAGGTGAGAAAATCGTGGTGGAAAAGGCAAAATTGTTTCAAGTATTTAAATCATAACGTAATGATTTTGTAATTCAAAACACATTTACCAATAAGAAATCTTATCTGAGGAAATTTTGCCTTTCCTAGGAAGAAGCCCACTTATTGACTGTTCAGTGGGGAATGGTCATCTGTGAAACCGCATGCATACAAAAACAAAAACTGACTCAGTAGGTTTGGAGATTTTATATATGTGTGTGTGTGTGTGTGTGTGTGTGTGTGTGTGTGTATGTGTGTGTATGTGTATGTGTGTATGTGTGTGATGGTAACAATAGAAAAAAGGAGCAAACAACTTGGGGGAAACATGCAGGGGGTATGAGGGAGGGTAGTTTGTACTGTGTGAAGGAAGAAAATGGAGGGGGAAGGAGATATAGATTTATTTATATTGAAAATTTATTTAAAAGATATGTCATCAGCTGACTCCATGCATTTACTTAAAAATGCTTTAGCTTTATTTCACTGTATCAAACATACAGGGTATTTCTTTGCAGATGTGACATGAGAGGGCCATGTTAAGGGGACAGTTTCAATAACATATAGGGATGTACAGGAAAAGTATATCCTTGATATTAAGTGATAGTTTTATCCTTTGGTGATAATTTTTATTATTTAGTGATAAGTTTCATCATTATTAATGATAATGTTAAAAGTAGATGTATTCTCTTTACACTAAATAAACTTAATACATTAAAATAACAAATTAATTTAAGATGTCAAATCAAATTAAAAATGAGAAAATGAAATCCTTACTTAGCAGAATAGTTAAAATAGCAATTCTTCTCTAGCAAATATGGTAAAAAATAAACAGTGAGCAACATTAATAGTATCCATTCTAAAAGAATACTTCACTTCATATAATGGCGCATTACTATTATCTTTGTGTGCACCCTATTAGTATAGTTTTTTGTATTCACTTTGCATTGAATACATATTAAATCAGAGGGAGCAATAGTTTGGATTTTTTTTTAACTTGAAGTCACAAAGTTACAACAAATTTTAGAATTAAAGAACAGTTTTAAAATGTCTGTGAAAGACATGGGACACAGTTTTCTGTCTGCTGTGACTTGTGTATCAACAATCCAGATTTAAATAATGATATTCTCCCAGAGATATGGTCCATATTTAGAGTGTGAAACCATTGGCACCATTACAGAACCAGCAGCTGGAGTTCAGACTTGACACATCTCAGCTGCTGCTTTCAGGATTAGTGAAGCCAGACTCACAATTCTATGTCTGCTTTCCTTGGGAACTGTTGATGTTTTGCTATCTTTTCTGCAAAAGCTGGCATGAATCATTCCATAAATAATGCATTTAGGGTGAGCTTTCAGCTTAACTTCCTATTTTGACCTCCTCCTTTCTCAGTGACACCTTGTGGTCCTCTATATATTTCCAGTTTGTTTATCAATAACTAATTTCTACCTTTCTAATAAAATAGTGAAGACCATTACTCATTACTGTGTATTTATTCATCATTAAAATTTTCTCACCTGGAGTGAACTAATTGCCCTATATTTCTTTTTTTTAAACACAAACTTGTAAAGATCTGACATTATAAATTCTTCACAATCTTATATACTGAATAGATAAAAGAAATCAACAGCAGAACCAAAAAATGTGGTACTAACAAGAAATTGTCCTGATGTTGTGGATAAGAAGTTATGAGAGTTCAGAGTCTGAGATGGACAATGGAATGTAGCATTTTAAGTCAGTCTTGAATAAAATTATACTATCTTGTTCATGCATAGCATGGTATGGTGGGTTAAATGTTAAAAAAGAGTCTGAAAATTAATATAATATTGTTTCCCATGATCTGAAGAATCTATAATAGAATGATATCATGCATTAAGTGCATAATGTCGTTTGCTTATTAAATGAACACTATTGTATTGTTTGCTTTCGCTTTCTCATTCACGGAGCAGAAAACTTATTTTTTTTTATATAGGAAACATGGGTTCAGATGGACATATTGCTATTCAATGATGAGAATATAGTACAGAAAGTCATGTTTTTACACTAAAGATTACACAGAGTATCATATCATGAAGCATTTTCTATAGAAATTCTTCAGGAATGAGTTGGAATAAATATTTCAATGTTGTGTTTCATTACAGTTTCCTAGATATTATGGGAGTTCCTCATGTCTGTTCTCCCAATGAATTCATAAGAAATAAGTGATAGTACTGTAAGTCATGTATACAAATGGGACACAAATTTACTGAGACATAATTTCCAAGCAGAATCATTTGATTCATTTTAGATATATAATCAGGCTTCACATTTTTAGAAGGCAATTTCTGGGAAAGAACTAAGAAACCATTCTCTGTGTTAGAGGCCAGGCTGGTCTATAGAGCAAAAGATACAAAGGTCACCTCTCAAGAATATTCAGAGAAATTTTCAATAACAGATCTCTGCAAAGATTTCTATAGTCATTTTACTTAAAAGAAACAATGTCATAGTCTTTTTAATTATTATGAAATGTATAATAATTATATTAGGTAAGTCTATACTAAAGAAGTTTCAGAAAATAAAAACATGGTCAGATTCTTGTACCAGAAATCTGCTCACGTTGGTGATATTTTCATTACTGTTCTTCCAGATGACTTCATTTGCCCCTAAACTGTAAGAGAGCACCTCGAGACCAGAATTTCTGTGCCTGTTTCCTGATTCAGAA